AAGTTCGAGAACGAGGAGTTCTTCAGGAAGCTGAGCCGGGAGTGCGAGGTGAGGGAGAAAGGAGGGAAGGGGAAAAAGGAAGGAAAGGGTCCGGACCGGACGGGGCACCGCCGCCGCCCCCGCCGTCGTCCGGGCGGGCTGGCCGGCTGGCTTCCCCGACGAAGGAGGGGAAGAGGATGATTGGGGGGGAGAGAAGAGAGGGGCTCCAGTTCATCCCACCCCCGTGGCCAAGCCCTCCGACGAGGGGCAGCTTGGTTTCATGAAGGGTTTATATACACATACCTGCCGAGGTGCGGTAACTTTTATGCCTCGCAATACGTTACTTTTCGAAACTTTTCTTTTTTTCGGGGGGGGGGGGGAAGAGGTATTATTAACGAGCCCGGTATTGCAGGAAAAACTCCTGTGAAGGGGGTTTGGAGGGAGATTTCATAAGAATAAGAATAAATTTAGGGGTGGGAGGCACTGCAGGGAGATTTAACAATAATTCAGGGGTGGGGGTTTGGCAGGGAGATTTAATCATCATAATAACAAGGTTCTAACGCGTTCAGATTTCTGTAGTATGTAGAAAAGCTTTTTTTTTTTTTAAAGTAATGTGTTCAAAAAAAGGAGGAAGGTTTGTGATGTCTAAATGAGAGTGATGGTAAGTGAGGAAGGGATCTGGTAGTGGGGGGTTTACTCAGAAGTAAGCCCCCCTTCGCTACAACATTTAATCAGGGTCAGGCAGGATCGGAGCTGGGATCCTAAAGGAGAGAGGCAGGGCTGTGGGCCCACGGTTGTTCACTTCTGTTTTCACTTTTCCTCTTCTGAAGTGGAGGAGCCATGCTTGCTCCTGAGTAAACTGGGCGCAGGTCCTGTGAAGTAGCAGTGGCAGCCCTTCCGCACCCAGATTCCTCTCTCTGAAGCTCTTGGAGTAGTGGAAACCAGTAAAACTCCTCTTCCTAAGCATGTCTGGGGGTTCACTCCCAGGTCCGTAAACCTCATTATTTGGAAGCAGTAGGATGATTTCAGTAGGATGCCTCTGAGGGTCGAAATGTTGGACTGGCGATTTCTTATTGCTGGCATCCCACTCCCACGCCTTAAAAAACCTTGTGACATATTGTTGTAGTCTTTCGGTAGTGCAATGTGATCCTGCACCTCCTTGAAGTGTGGAAGAAGCTTATGTATCATCTTACATGAATGAAGGTGCTGATGAACATCCCTACTTCCATAGTGCATTTTCTCTTTCTCTTGCTTACATGGCCCATCTTTTTTTCAATGCCCATACCGATAGGTGAAAACCTGCCAGGAGAGGGTGGAAAAACCCTTACAACCTGTAGTTCACACTGTTGCTTTTATAGGCAAAAGTCAAAAAGTGTCAAGAAATCTGCTGTCTGCCAGGCTGCATCTGAATGTAACAGTACAATTTAAAGGCACCTATTTTACAGTAGAGCCAGTGTGATGCCGGGGACAAAGCGATGGACTAAGATCCACATCTTTATCAACTCATCTGCTTTGAAAACTCTGTTGGGGTTGCTGTAAGTCAGATGTGACATGATGGCGCATATACAAAATCTGCAGGAAGGAGTAATGTACCCCAGACTGTACTTTAAAAGAGCAAGGGCAAATCCACCCTCACTCTTAATTGGCCTAGCTTTTAGTGTGAGGCTGTAGGTGGGGGGGACAGCATTGAGGGGGCAATATCCATTATGATTTTGTTTAGATACTTACCTGGAATGTTCTGTCTCCGTGAATTTGCAGGAGGGGGGACCTGGGTGAAAATAAAAAAGAGTAGCCGCAGGCTTTCTTGTGTTATCTGACATTGTTTTGTTCAAGAATACAAGCCTTGATTATGCTCCTCGCCCCCTTTGCACATGAAGTACTTGAATGTTATTTTCCCCTCATAATAGACACTTCTGCAAGGTAGCATATAACTTTGATTCTTTGTATTGCCATTTGTGAGCAGAATCAGCAAATAGTAGCTACTGCAAATTGATTAATCCCTAGTTTAAAATAACCTTCCATGTGGTGATAGTAATACACATTGGTTAGCTCAGCCTTCCCATCCTGGTGTTTTCCAGATGTCTCAGACTCCAGTTCCTCTAAGCTCCCATTGTTGTTCATAGTAGTGGGGTTGATGACAGGTATTCTCGAAAGATTTTGAGAGAATAAGACAATTGAGCTTACACAGGCTGCTTGAAACAGGCTTGTTGTTCCTGTATATCAAATATATAAGGTTATCCCTGGTCGGAAATACCTTGATTTCCTTGTGAGGTTTATGATATTAATATTTGTAAAGACAAGAACTGGATGTGTTGGGAAAGAGTTAGTGTTAGCCTCGCCACATTGCTTTTCAAGGTATGATCTTGTTAATATCTCACATCCTCCATGTGGCACAGGTTACCTCATGGAGATTCCTGAATTTGAAGCACACGTGGCAGTTCCTGTTTCCCCTTCTTCAGGGTCCAGCTCATCTGGAGCATTTATTGTTTCACATGCTACAGATGACATAATAATGGAAATCCCACTTCCTAATTTGGGGCTGAAACAATTTATACACACACTCTAATTTCTCTTGCTCTGTTCCTGCCTTGCTGTCACAAGGCTAGATTCTGTGCTGGATTGGTTATTGTTGTTTTGCTTGCAATCCATGAATGTTTGCAGTAGTGCATTGTGGAGTTTATTCCCTACAAGGTTGTGCATTTGTTTCTTATACACAACTGCACACAGAAAATATGGTCCCTAATCTCTGCTGTCTTCCTTGGAAGTGTATGGGTGTATTTTTTCCAGAAATATTTAATACCTGAGGTAGGAGAGGTGTTCCTTACATGCAGGTTCATGGTGCTGAGGAATTGCCTTTCATGTCACTGCTTTTTGTCCTTCCTGTGAAGATGTTGAACTTCTACTTTTTACGGACACACATTTCAGCTATCCTCTAGCTGGAAGGTGTTGCAATTTTAGAAGAACAGATCTTCTTTCATACAGTTCTTTACCTCCCGTACAGTGTTGAAGGCACTCCTTCTGTCTTGCCCTCCGATAGAACACCCCTACGTATCTTATTTCATGGTCCCTGAACAGTTTGTTCTAACACCTGTATGCATAGACAGTCAATTGTACTGGAAGTCATGGTGTATTTTTCAAAATAATGTTGAACTGTGTGTGAGAACAACATTTTAAAGTAAAAGTCTGCAAGAGTAGGGGCATGTCAATATTTGGTTGCAGCTAATTTGGAGTACTGTCTCTGCTGCATCCAGGATCTCCTGTCAGCAACGCTGAGATTAGGGGTGTCAGACTCCTGTGTATGTCATTCAAAATCTGTGTATAATTATTATGCCCCCACTGCATAAGCAGTTGTTTAACACACATGCATACAGAACAGTTCTCTCTATTGGGTTTCTCTTCCATAGTGTGGATAATCCTTTCATACAGCACTCTGTGCAGTGAGCTTCAAAACCCCCTAATCTAGAGGCTGAATTAGAGATAAATTGTGTGTGAGATGTGTCCTTATAAGAATTGATGCCTTCGGTGTTGAATTCATGGGGTTCTGGGTGGCCAGCGTCACAGTCTGTATTGAATATATATTTATTGAATATTTCTTTGTTTATTGAAAAAATCCTTGTATAACCCAAATTTTTCTACTCAGACTCATGCAATTCAAGGGAGAAGTGTACAGTACTCAGTTTGTAACTCGGTGTGTGATCTCTGCAGACTTGTCCTTATCTCTAGTATTGCAAAACAGGCAGGATTCACTTTTTGATTTCGCACATGTTTTTGCAGATTAAATACACAGGCTTCAGAGACAGACCACATGAAGAACGACAGGCCAGGTTTCAGAATGCTTGCAGAGATGGACGATCTGAGATAGTAAGTATATAAGCTTACAGTCTGTACTTCAGTGAACTATGCTTGTGTCTTTTCTTCCACTCTGTGCACTGAACAGTATGAAGACACAGATAGTTTCTTTTCATACAACGATAACTGACCTAATGCTTAGGCACCTATTCAGTTTCATTATAATACCATGTCAAGATGAAACCAAAACTCTGAGCTGCTGTTTTTTAAAGCTCCCACACTCCCTTGTTGGATTCTTAATGCTACTTATATACCCTCTTAACAAATTCATGAGAATTGAAGTGTTAATCATTATGTCTAGAGCTGCAAATTCCATGTCTGACTGCAAACTGTTGCGTAGTTACCTGCCCAGTCTTCTTCCGTGCTTTTCTGTCTAAAAAAGGCATGTTCTAGTCTGAATGTCTGGCTGTTACTGATAGCATCATAGCAAATAAACTTACATGTGGGAGCCTAGCTGTTACTACTTTCTTAAATTTTATTAATTCATTTATTTATTAATTAAAAGTACTTATTGGGTTTTGCCTGCAAGATCTTGCAAATAAATGTATGATTGAATAAAACTGATTTAAATTGCTACAGTTGAAAAACCAGTGCACTTGCAGTGTAGAAAAGCTGCTTAGTTTGTCTGATTGATAAGTCACCCAGAGTGAGTGAGCATCAACAGATTCTGATTAACCCCTTGAATTCTGCAAATGGCAATATCAATTATTATTTATGAAATTCCTAACATTATACTTATTTTAGCTGGCTAGATAGCTCAGTGGTTTAGGTATCTGGTTGTGGAACCAGAGTTTAATTGGGAGTTTAATTGCCCAAGTGCCTCCTGCGAAATGGAGCTTGTGTGGACTTGGGCAGGCTCCACAGTCCTGGGGTACTCCTAAAAGAAGGGAATAATAATCCACTTCTGAGTATTTTCTATCGGGTTATGGAAAACCCTAAAAAAAGGGTCACCATAAGTTGGAATCATCATACATTCATTTAAAATGCATGTGAAAAGCATGCTTGAACGAAATAGGAGCTCACACTTAACAGTTAAAGGCTTGGCTTATAAATATTACAGCAAAAATCTCCCTCAAAATTGAATATTGCTGTTCAGAAAAAAACTGCACAGAAAAGAGAGGAGTGAGAAGCTCAAACCCCCCCCCCAGTCCATTGATATTTCATTAGCAAAGCATATACAGTGGTGCCCCGCATAGCGACGTTAACCCATTCCGGATTAATCGTCGCTATCCGGAAACATCGCAATGCGGGGGGGGGAACCCATAGAAACGCATTAAATTTTGTTTAATGCGTTCCTATGGGGCGAAACTCGCAGTTATGCTTCTTATATGAGGTGTGTCCTTATTACCTGATGATAGGTTATATATAGTAATCAGTTACTTGTGTTTCCACATTTAATAAGGTTGTATTCTTTAGGACTTAGGGGTGCTGGGTCCATTGCTGAGGTCTTACAGTTTTAGCCACATAAATGATCACAATTAATTTAGCTTGTTCAAAGCTGTTATACAGCAGTGTAAAATATGTCGAATTTGACAGTAGCATTTGTACTGAGGCCAACTTTTGATATAATTGTCATAAATGAAATGTTGACAGTTAACTTCCTGCAGATGCTGTGTTAACTTGTGGTCTTAGATTTTTGTCTTGAATGATACTTGTCTAATTAAGATACGTATTTAAATTATAAACCAGGGTATACTGTCACAAAAATAATCCTAGGACTGACAGAACACCCATTCCATCTTTCTTTGGTGCAGCTACAAGGAGGAACTTCTGCAACAAGGAGCTTTTTAAATTAACCGCAGCTTGTTGTTTTATTCAGACCTGGCAAATTATGGAAGAGTAACCACATTTTAAGATTTGAATGTAATGCTAAATTGTGGTTAATGAAAAACAAACATTTTCTCTATAATCACAGGTACACATGAATGGAGAAGAGCCTGAGTTGAGGGCTCACTTGATCTTGTTGCTTTCATGATAAATCACAGTTGATCAAAATATCTAAATGCAGCCATTTGATACTTAGAAACAATTAGCAGAAAGTACACAATATTAATGCAAATATGTTAGTCTTAAAATGTGTACCTTACTGTTGAGGAGAGTTAAAGTTGGAACTGGCTTCTAGCTTTTAAAAGGAAATGATGAAGATTTTGCCTTAGGTAGCTAATTAAGGTTCTGTAACTTTAGAGGCCTATTTCCAGGTCACGTGTGGCCAGATACTACTTATATAAGACATAAGACATAAGAAATTTATTTGTCATTGCGCTCACAAGTGGGTGCAACGAAATGAGGTGCTCTTCCCCAAGGTAAAACTGGACAACACTACAAAAAAAAGTTAAAATATACACAACTTTCACCATCCAAATATAGATACCCCGTTTTCTCTCAGCAAGTAAAATTCCACCAAAAACCTATGGCCCCGCATTTAAACTCAATACTGCACTTGGGTAAAAACTGTTCTTGAATCTGCTTGTCCTTGCTTTCAATACCCTGAATCTCCTTCCTGATGGTAATAGTTTAAAGAGCTGATATCCCGGATGAGAGGAGTCTTTCAGTATGTTAGATATCTTCCTCTTACATCTGTTCTTATACAATTCTTCCAAAGAGAGGAGTGAACAGCCAATGATGTTTTGGGCCGTCTTAATCACCCTTTGAATTGCCTTTTTCTCTGCCACTGTGCAGCTCGTGAACCATACACCATATATTTATTCCATGACCCCCATATGATGGTCTTAATATGGAATCCTGGGAAATTTACACAGCTTTACTATGAAGCTTACATAAAAAGTCACTAGTGGGGTTTTTTTGTACCAAATCTATTTATCAAAGAATTTTGAAAATTAGCCTGTAAATTAGTAATACATAAAATGAAATTCTACTATAATCCGTATTAAGTTTTCTGTACTGAAATGAAATGATATCTATTATTTTGCATACTTAGAACTTACAAGAAGGGACTTGTAAGATGTTGCAATACACCTGTAGCCTATGTGGTGTGTAACTTATAGGGCAGCAATGTCGAACCTATGGCACGGGTGCCACAGCTGGCATGCAGAGCCCTTTCTGCGAGCACACGAGCCATAAGTTGCCAGATCACTAATCCCCCCCCCCCCGGCAGCCAAACCTCAGGAGGCGGTTGCAGCCACAGTGCTGGCATTTCAACAGGTGGCAGGTCAGGATCCGAAGCAGCTGGAGCTGACAGTGGATCCAGAGTGGGGTCTTGAGGCACCTCTGTGCCCAGGATTCTCCCTTCTAGCACCATTTCTGGTTCCTCCACCACTACTTCCGGTTCTGCCACTGCCACCATGGCACACCACCCATTGATTTATTTATTTTTTTCCAGTTTGGACACTCGGGCCCAAAAAGGTTTGCTGCCACTGCTGTAGGGTATTAGACTAGGACTGAGGAAACATGGTTCAAATCTCCACTTGGTCAGAGATGCTCCTTGGGGATGGTACTGTAAAACTACTCCTTAAATATTATTGTATATGTTGAAAACACTCCTAATCATGTGTTGAAAGTGCTTGACAGAACTTAATATAACATGATGAACAGGAGTGTTTCCACTTCAAGACTGCAGCCAACTGAGAACCAGGAGTCTTGTCCTGTTGGAGGTTTGTGGAGGATTTTCTTTTCATATCCCACTCATGAAATCCTCCACTGTACTACATAACATGAGAGGTTCAAGTTTCAGGCTGATAGCCCTAAATTTTTGTCTTCAGCACCTTTAACATTATCTTGATACTTTCTCAGAATCTGCCTGACTTCTTTGTATATACACACCTTTATTTACCCTTGGAGAAGCAGTGAGAACTGCTTAGAGGAGGTAACAGGGAAATGCATGGTTATAGTGTAGCAGTGATTTGGTTAGCAGCATATTCCTTTCTCCTGTTCTTCTCCCAAAACACAAGCAAAAAAGGCAGCAAAAATAAGATCCTTAATCCAGTACTCCCAGTGAGAGTAGACCTCCTAATCAATTTCTTGGAGTTTGCATATATTAAAATTTAACTGAAAAACCAGTTGGATTTAGACAAAGAGCTTTAACTTTATAGTGATTGCCAATGATAGTTTCCTCAGCAGACAATGAGAAGAAGTAGTGTAATACTTTTCCCCTCAACATTACTTTTGTGAAACCTCATGTAGTTTGGAGGATTTTAAAACATATTTTATTTTACAGTGTTAAATATTTTTTTCTGTCTAGGAATTCCATGAATAAGGAGCCACTATTTTATTTTATACTGTATTCTACTTCATTTTGTTTCCAGATACAGTGGTGCCTTGCATTACGATCGCTTCGTTTAACGGCGAAATCACATTACGATGAACTTTTTGCGATCACTTTTGTGATCGCAAAATGATGTTTCCTATGGAGGAATTTCGCTTTGCTATGATTGGTTCCCTGCTTCGGGAACCGATTCTTCGCAAAACGATGATTTTCCAACAGCTGATCGGCGGTTTCAAAATGGCCACCAGGTAAATAAAATGGCTCCCCGCTGTGTTTAGGGACGGATTCCTCGCAAGACAGGCAGCGAAAATGGCCGCCCTATGGAGGATCTTCGCTGGACGGTGAGTTTTAAGCCCATCGGAATGCATTAAGCAGGTTTTAATGCATTTCTATGGGCTTTTTAATTTCACTTTACGATGTTTTCATTCTACAGCGATTTCGCTGGAACGAATTAACATCATAATGCGAGGCACCACTGTACTGTAGATACAGGGTCAACCCTGTTTGTTATTAGAGAGAATAATTTTATCACACTTTAGATCAGTTATGCAGCTGTCTTTTCAGCATTTGACAATTTGTGCTCATAAACCTTCTCAGATATTTTACTTCAAACTAAGTGACTGGTTTTTTTTTTAAGTGCAGATAATAAATTAACCACGTAGCCTCTAAGGACCTATGTGTATTTCCAAAAAAATGACATTGATTTAAAAAAATTGCATCCAGGCTGATATAAAGCATACAACAGTTTTATTTTTAATGAAAAAGTAGAAACTGTTCTAATGTTATTATATAAAAATTAAAGTCCCAAGTCGTGTTCTGGTGATGTTACCTTGGTATTCTAGTGATGGGCCCTCTTTAAGGAGAAAGACAGGATAGAAATATTTTAAATTTTAAAAAATGATGTAATAACTTTTGCTTGTTTCTCTGTTGTGATTGCCTCACAGATGAACACTACATGAGCACTGGAGATTTTTGAATGTTTGATATTTCTGCTTTATATTGAAATTTCAGATAGTAGAATAAGTTTGTAATTGGTTTAAGGTGTGTTATTTCTGATGGCTAGCATCTAATAGAGTAGAAGCTCTTTCTGTAAAATAGCTTCTAGACTGGCTTCCTTTCCTGTAAAGGAACAGTGACATTCAGGATTTCACATAACAGTGACATTCCATACGTTTTTGCTTACAGTTTTGAGCAGCCCCAGTCAGCTCAAAAGTGATGAGAGAGGATGGAACTGTTCTCCAAAAACATTTGGAGGACAATGTATTCTCCATGTTTTTGTAGAACATTCTTGCAATATCTATATGCATAAATTTAATGGTTTTTTCTAGATTTAAAAAATATTGAATATAGTTATAAAGGCAGGTAGTTTAAAAGAACTTTGTATTATTACAGTGGCAATTGATTTAGAATTTGCTGTTTCTTTTATATGGTGGCTAATCTGGCTAAGTCAGAGGTGAAGAAAAGATTCATCATGTACACAGCAGCAAAAACAACACAAATTATGAATGTGCTAAATATCCTTCTCCCCCCCCCCGTGTTTCACCCAGAATCAGTTATAAATGTTAATGTGGTACTGAACATTCAATATTTTTTTCACATCCCTTTCTTAAAATAGATTTATTTTTATTCTCAACTGAAAGACACCCTTAGTACTCATAACTCTACATGTTGTATTCAGCCTCACTAAGTAAACATCAGTTGTAATAATTCTGAAGAAGCAGGACATATTTTACTTAAATTGCTTAGTAAAGCACTGTGTATATTTCTTATATGACAATTTGTAGTGGCATGTTTTTATTTAAGTGTGTTACTTGTGGTATTTGGTTTATGAGCAAAAAAGAGGGTCTATTGTTCCTAAGAACTGGCTTCTTGAAGTTAACAGATAGGTTTAATGCATGTATGGGGCTTCTGCGTGTGTTTCAGAGTGATATTTTCAAAATCTGCTTTTCTTTCTTAGTGCTGGAATTCCTGTAACAAGTTTATGGCATGTTTGTTACTTTTGTTGCCCTTCATTTGTTGCTAGAGATGTAGACAACTTGGCAGCGACAGATCTTTTTAATTGTACACCTACAAATGTTTGTTTCGCACCCTGTTTCCCACATTGTAAGTGTTGTGCAGAGCTAAGGCTTTCTGCTCATAAGCTGCACTCAAAAACAGCAGCTGGCTGTTGCTGCTTCTTCTTTTGAAATTGTTTATTTTAGGAGAATATGCCTTTTAAAACATTCTAACCACAGTAGCATTCGACTTTCTGGTAGTATTCTGAAATAGTTCTTGATAGTTCTGCATGAAATAAGAGTATGATATCTGCAAGAACAATTTAAATATAGTATTGATTCTGTGTTGTATCTTATATCTGAGGCAGCTAATGGCAAATGTTGTCAAAATGAAATCAGATGTTTGTAACTTAATACTTAAGAAAAATGATGAGTGCATGTTTTTGACTTTGGGTATTCTCTGTGCTGCTCAGCTTTAAGACATAAACTGATGTAAAAATAAATGACTGCCTGCATAATTTATGTAATGTCTTGCTCCCTGATCCTGTTTGTATTGATTTTTCTAAAAGGCTTTTGTGGCCACAGGAACCAATCTGTCTCTCCAGTTTTTTCCGGCCAACTGGCAGGGGGAGCAGCGGCAGACACCAACCCGAGAGTATGTTGACTTTGAAAGAGAAGGAGGCAAGGTAAGGACAAAAAGTGTGAATTATAATTGTGTAGGTATATTTTAGAAATATGAAGTGGTCCCATTAATATTCCATACTTCTCACAAATAATTTTTCTGAAATCCTGAATAAGCTGTTCTAGTCATACCATTGAAGATAAGAGACTATATTTGTTTGCAAACAAAATAGAATCTTTCTGCTTGTTCATTGCAATTATGTCTCTATTTAAGCTTTCAACCCTACCAGTATTTCACTGAAATACTACCAGGATTTTACTGAAATACTTAAAATGACTACACAATACAGTACTGTAATATAACAGGTTTTAGTTTAGCATGGGGCACTTTCTAAAGAAGGGCATCCTTTTCCTATGTCATGCTTGCTTTGTTGAACAGAATATGTGTGGGACAGCTTGTGAGGTAGTACATGAGAAAGAAAAAAAACAGCATAAGGGAAATGACATGAAGCATTCTGTAATTTAGAAAGTAAAAATGGAAAACCTTATAATATTTCCATGATATTTTCTCAATCATAAAGAATAAACATTACTACTGTTCTTAACCCTCGATAATGCTTTTGTTATAGTATTCACATGTAGATTTCTCTTTTCAGTTGACAGGCTTGTCTGGATTATAATATTTCTGCATCACAGGTGTAGGAGTGATTGTGTACAAAAAGGTTGTGTCATTCTCATCTGTTTGTATGCTGCTTTCCCACATAATTATGCCCAAAGTGGCTAATTGCTTTTTCAAATGATGGCAGTAAATCTAACAATTGAAAACTGTAGAAACAATTTGCGTACTTAGTAAATGTCAGTATATAGATTTTATATATACTCAAAGTAAAAGAATACAGATAGTTCTACTTAATCCATCAGTGTAGTATTAAATAAGAGAACAAAGCCTAGTAGTGATAATAATACATATGAGGCCAAATAGATTTCCATTTTAGAAAGGTAAAATAGGGTTCTCCTTAAACATTGGTCGTCAACAAGGCATCTTTCTTTCATAAAAGTATTCCGTTTGGTACTTTGGAATAGGAAGAGTAAATTAAAAGATAAATAAACTGGAGTGTATTTTCCAAACACAACTATCTCTTCTATCTGAATGTCAATGCAAGCCGATTTTGTTTTTTCCCTAAGCCATTGGGATACAAACATTTTCTGCTGATAATGTATTTGCAGTGTTTATCAGATTGACCATTTTTTGTTTATTAAGGTATTTAAGGTGGTTTTCGTACTTCTGATTTTGCTGCTGCTTTGTTTCAATTTCTGTTTTAAAGGAAATTTTTGATATTGATTTTTTAATTCTATATTTCATCCTTATAAGTGTTATGGAAGGGTAGCCTAAAAAATCTTAAATGAGTTTCCGCCATGATTTTCCAAAAGTGAAATATAAAGAGGAATCTGGAGGTGACTGTATGAGCAATGCATCCAGGAGATTTTTAAGAAAGCTGTAAGGTCAGAGAGTAGTAAGCAATTTAGTGTTGTAGTAGGCAAGGAGAAAAACTATACATATAGATTAAATTTTCAAGAAGAATAGTAATAAGCTTGTTTATTATTGCAATTTGGCATATTCAGATATGGGAGAGAATCAGTGTTAGTAACATTTTACGTGCAATTGTTGACTTTCATGTGCCTGTGTAAACTGTAGAACTGAAGCTTCAGAAGCAGCCCATTGTCAGAGAAAGTGAATTTGATGGACTGAAGTTCTGATCCAGTATGATTCTTTCTGCATTATTTGTCTTCCTTTGTTTTTTTATTCAGACTTTTGTACAATACTAAATATGTTTTGGAATGCTAAAACCAATATCTTCTGTTTATAGGCTTCTATGTTTCAGCACATAACGGGTGGGGACTGGTATTTTGTGATAATCATTAATTTACCTGTTACTTTTTTTAAAAAAGCTTTGGCATATGGCAAGCTTCCCCAGTGAGCAGATTTGCAATTAAAGATTTGGACCTATGTTGATTTATTCCTGTTTTTCAGTCCTTTCCATATTCAGGAGGTATTTGTTGTGCATCATAGTGAAAAGTTACTGTCATTTTTTTCAGTGGAGTTATTTTAATTAGGTGCCATTGCATTAGCTCCAAGAATACATAAGCTGCAGTTTAGAAATCAGGAAAATGCGAGTCAATGTAGGTCTCATGTCTGCCCACATGGCTGATGTTGAGCTGGCGCAAGCTGTCTGGCTTGTACAGGAGGCTTCCAAAATAACAGTCTTGGAAGAAAAGATACCTCTGTTTCCTTTGTTACATTTGTATGGTTTTATGATCCATGTAAACATACCATTAGGGTGTGGACAGATACTGCCAATTCTGCTTTGCATACCCTGGAGTACTGAAACCGATTGCCAGCCCCAGCTTGGTTGGCGGGGCGGCCCTCCTCCATCCATCCTTTGATCCCTATACTCAAGACCAACACCTTGAAGCACAACAAAGTTTATTGAACCTGGGAGGGGGTTAACAACAACTGGTCTTATAAACAGACTCAGTTCCTTAATCCCAGTTTCTGGCTCTAGCCCAAGGTCATTGTTGTACCTTTCTTGCCCCTTTATTCCCTTCACCATGGGGAAAGAAACTTCACTGTAGATTCCACTTAACTCCACTGGATTCTCTACAGGTCCCTTCAGAGCTAGTCCACTGGCCAAGGGTCTCATGCTGGGTCTTGCTTCCTGGAGTGAGGGCAGGTCTGCAGGGTCAGTGGTCCTTCTGACTCCTTGGTTTCTTCCATTCCTTCACCTCTTAATACTGACAGGATCACTGACACTTCCTCTACCCTTTGCTTTGGGTTGGAGTTGGTTCACCAGTCCAATGCGCCTGCTTCCTTTCTTGTGCCCCCCAGTACAAGGAGCGTGGAGACTTCCTCTTTGGAGACCCGGATCTCGACGAAGACCTCTCCCCAGGGGTCCTCTTGATAGATATATTCCCACACAGCTCCAAGGATTCAGGCCCTTCCTCTGGGGACTCCTCAGCCCAGCCATTCCCAACCACTCTTCCTCTTCCCAGACAATTTCTCCTGGGTCCTCATCTGACTCCATGTGGGACCCTGGGCCTGGTCTTTCAGGAGGTTCAGCAACAGCCTCAGCTTCTGCCCCTGGGCTTTCTGGCTCCAATTCCTCAGTTGGTTCTGTTTGGCAACCTGTCTCCTGTCTCTGATTCCCTCTCAAGCTCTGTCTCTGGTGGCAGGAGGTGGCTTTTATATCATCCTCCATGGATATACTGTAGAGTTGGTGCTTTTTTCCTCTAGGCAGCATGCCACTTTCCTGGAGCAGATATCACTACCAGGACCTCTGTTTGACGCCCATTTTCCTGAGCAGAATGGGGCCCCTCTGTTGGGCTTTGAGGACTGACTCTTGAGCCCCTCTGTGTTGTCCATTGGCTTCTGGGTCTGTGCCTCTAGCACCTCGGGTCCTGGGTGGAGTGCAACAGCAAGCCCAGAGGGATCCTATCCAAGGTCTTATCCCCACACTGATACAACTGGAATTACGTGACAATTCCTTAAGAAGGGAAGTGAGGAGAACTGCTTCCTTGGAGTTTAACTTTTATGTTTGATTGACCTCTGATGGTGGTAAGGCAGTTCCTATTGCATTACATAATTCTTCTTTGTCTTACTTACTAGTAGTGTTTTCTTATTTTTGTCTTTTCACCTTTGTTTATTGTTGTCTTCCATGAATCCATAGAAAAAAAGATACACAATTTGTACTAAGTTTGTGAAGTAAAAAAAGAAAACAGACTGTGACATCAGCACAAATTTCTTAGGAAAGTACTGAAGTGTCAATTTCCTATAAAAACCACACAGGAGAAAAATGTGATTGTATGATCATGAGGGTATCTTTTATTATCATTTTAAAGAATCTAGCTTTAGTTTTAATGTTTCTTTAATGTAGAAGGTCTCCATTAAAGCTATCTCTGTTTGTATAGCATTCAGTTTTGCTGGATCACATTGCTTTGAAGTTGCATTTACTTGCATTTACCTTCTGCAAACCCCTTTAATAATGGAGTACTAAAGTTCAGAATGAGAGGTGTATAGCAATTCCTGCATTACCCTTGCAATTACTTTTTTGTTCCTTAGGAAAGGGGAGGTATATGCTGAGAAACACTGGCTTTTATAAGGCCACTCAGTGAGATGGAGTAAACATCCAGCCTTATAACCTGAAATTCTGGTTACTTAAACAAGCCAGATACCAAACTCTTGGTTTTAAGTTCACTTATTTAGAAACTAACTAGAGTTTATAGTAAATCCAGCATCTCTAGGGTATATTCCATGCTGTCCTTGCATTCTGTAAAACTGAAACCAAATGTTGCAAGTTCCTGTGCAGCAAGAGTAAAGAGCAGTAAGTAATCTGTGGCTTTGCTTCGGGTTCGTTGCAGCTTCTGCACACATAGCTATTTTAACACTCCATGTGAATTAGTTCTTGTTTCAGTGTATTCTGTAGACTTCAGTAATATATGAGTGTTATGGTTCTAAGATGGTTAAATTGGATATTCTCTTATCACATCTTTCAACATTGACCTTTGTGACCTAACTTTGCTTTATTTAGTTTAACAAGTTTTTCTTTATGGTTGCTTTGTAAGTTTTCGCCTTTTTATCAAGGCCTACGGTTATTGTCATTTTGTTGTTGTTGTGAATGGCCATAAGCAACAAGGGTTTGAAGCCTATCTTCAAACACACACACACATCAATGCTTATTTACTTTTTCTGTCTGCCCGCTCTCCTTCCTCCTTCTAATCAGCACAATGGTCTGTCCATCACTTCCCTTTTTGGGGACTCCACTAAGAGGAGAAAGGAATATCCCAGACATTATTGGAGTTTCCTCTTTGATGGTTACGAGAGTTTGCAACCTAGTAACTGCAGACAGCAATGCAGACTAAATAGATTTGTTAATTGCCTGAAAGGATCTCAAAAATTAGTATATTTTCAACAAGAATCTAAAACAATTGCTAAAGCATATCAGATCTTGAAGGGAAATGCCTTCCATGTACTGACTACCATAATACTAAATACCCTGCTGCAAAAACT